TATCTATCTATCTATCTATCTATCTATCTATCTATCTATCTATCTATCTATCTATCTATCTATATTCCTATTCTTTACTTAATCACTACATTGATTTCTTTTTATTCTTAAGCCATGCATACCAGGCATCCCAGACTATATAGTATGTCAATTCCTCTTTATCTTTTAGTTTTAGGGTCTAATACAGGTAGTCCTCAACTTATGACATTTGTTGAACTATGGTTCAAAGTTATAATTGTTTCTGGCCAAAAAAAACCCACTTCAGTTCCAATTGTGGGCATCAGTTGAGGACTATCTGTATTTAATGCAGCATTGATTGGGAAGGGTAAGACGGAGGACATGGCGTTGCAGTGCCAACCCCACCGTTCCAACTTCAAGGGGAGAACTGGCATTGGGTCTCATGTCTATTCTCTTCCCTTGGCAAACTGTTGTACCCCGTCCCACCCTACTTTCCCCCCCCCAAGGTGCCAGTGGGGGCCTTTGAGCTGCAGCGTTGATGGGTTCTCCCACTTAATGAGTGTTAATCTCAGAGTTTCTCTCTACTTCAGAGGAGGAGAAATACGCCTTTGTGAACTGGATCAACAAAGCTTTGGAAAACGACCTGGATTGCAGGCATGTCATTCCCATGAACCCAAACACGGATGACCTCTTCAAAGCCGTTGGGGACGGGATCGTCTTGTGGTGAGTCTCCTGCTCTGCGGTGATGGCCCATGGAGGTGGGAGTGGGCAGGAGAAGCCCCCGCAAAGAGGCAGGCTATTCTCCCTTCTCTCTAACCGCCTGGATTCCCGGCTGGGTGTCCGTTTTCCTTCTTGTTTCCCTGCAGTAAAATGATCAACCTCTCCGTTCCTGACACCATTGATGAACGGGCCATCAACAAGAAGAAACTTACCCCATTCATAATTCAGGTGGGGGTCCATTGTGTCCCAGGTCTCCTCTCCCCACAGCTTAAATAATGCTGGATTTGTTCGCGTTCCAAGGGGGCGGCTAGGAGAGGGGATGGGTTTTGTTTGCTTTTAATTATTAAAAGAGGGTTTTGTGCTGCCTCTTTGTTGGACGTTGAAAGCAGAACCTTTTCCCAACCGAGGAGATGTTGCTCAGTAAATATTAATTGCAATCCAAGAGGAAGATAAACCAAGGCTGCATTTGGCATCCATTCAAGTGTGGAAACGATCGGGAGCTTTTCAATTAGATTCTCTACTCTCTCCTCCTCTTCTGGCTTCTCTTCCCCCCTCCCTCTTTCCCTTCTCTTTCTCTTTCCTCCTCCTTTCTTTCCTCTTCCATCTTTTTCTTTTCTCTCTTCGCTTCCCTCCTTGATCAGTTGCCGGGCGGCTCAAGCCTTATCTTGCTCTGGCAGTGAGAAAGCCACACATTTCTTTGTTGTTTGCAGCTTGCTATCTCTCTGTTCAAGGTTGGCCAGGCAGAGCATTTAAAATATTTTGGTTTGGAGAAGCCTTTGTGTAATGCCCTTCATTAGGGGGTGAGAGTGTGGAACAGATTCATGGCCACTGTAGGCGTCACATCCTGACCTGAGCTGAATCTCATAGCCTCAAGACTGTAGATGACTTCCTATGAAAAGCCTTCTCCATTTGCAGGAAAACCTGAATTTGGCTCTGAATTCTGCTTCTGCCATTGGGTGCCACGTGGTCAACATCGGAGCGGAGGATTTAAGGGAAGGAAAACCCCACCTGGTCCTCGGCCTTCTCTGGCAGATTATCAAGATTGGCTTGTTTGCTGATATTGAACTCAGCAAAAATGAAGGTAAGAGAAGCCCACCTGGCCTCTGCTGGGAGGTTGCTTCAATTGCCAGTGGCTGTGCAACGGGGCCCATTCCCCCTGTGGGTTGTAGAGGGCACTGAATGGGTTGGAGCATGGCTGGACTAGCCTTGGATGGGGGAAGAGTTGTAGGATGGGATAAGCGAGTAACAGGATGATAAGAGAGTCGGGCGTAACATTTTATTTAAGCGCTGTGCAAGGGATGGGATTTGCCTGCAGGAGGCCCACGTTGGTATTTCTCAAAGTTGGCAACTTTAAGAGGTGTGGACTTCAACCCCCAGAATCCCCTAGCCAGCACGGGGAATTCTGGGATCTGAAGTCCACGCAAAGTTGCCAAATTTGAAAAGCATTGGTCTAAATCAGGGGTCTCCAACCTTAGCAACTTTAAGCCTGGTGGCCTTCAACTCCCAGAATCCTGGGAGTTGAAGTCCTCCAGGCTTAAAGCTGCCACGGTTGGAGACCCCTGGTCTAAATGGATATCTAACTGTCAGTTAAGCCGAAGGACTTCCTAAATGGGTTAGTCTGGAAGTGTACAGTATCTCATTTCTTTCTACATAAGAATAAAATTACAAATGTTGTTTTCCAAAGGCGAAGCTTTTGGCCGGAGAAGTTTTCTCCCGCCCTCTTAGTATTCCAACAGTCTCTCTTGGCCACATTGAATACTTGGTTTATACTTCTCATAAATTAAAACCCTTATTTGACCTTATTTTGGTTTCATAATCCAGCATAATAAAAGAAAAAAAAGAAAAGCATCTGCCGAGGACTTAACCCTCAGCCATTAATTTGCTTCCCTTGTAAATAAAGTCAAGAGATCATCAAGTCTAAGGATTAAGAATTCTAATAAACCGCTTAGCGTTAAATTGGTTTCTCTGTTTTGAGAGCCATCATGCTGTTGTGGCCAAAGGCTTGGGCCAGGACCAAATCCACCCTTGGCCCTGCAGACCTATGGGTGACTTTGGACCAGTTGGCCTCTCAGCCTCAGCCCAGCCTTTTGCAATTGTGGGGATGAAATGAAGAGGCCTCTCCATGGAAACCTCCAGGATCTCTTGGGCCACATGAGGTTTTCCACCTGCTGAAGAGGCAAACGAAGGGTGTTCCTTGGGTTGGGGAGGGTGAACCAGGAATTGGGGGCCTGCAGTGAGACTCCCCTCTCTCCCCTTTTCAGCATTGGCTGCCTTGCTGTGTGATGGAGAGTCTTTGGAGGACCTCATGAAGTTGTCCCCAGAAGAACTTCTCCTGCGATGGGCCAACTACCACCTGGAGAGCGCTGGGTGGCACAAGATCAACAATTTCAGCTCCGAGATAAAGGTACTGGAGGTCTTGGTGGGCGTAGGTCCATGCACCTCTTCCATTTGGGAAGGTGGGCTCAGAGTTGAATGCTCTTCCAGGGAGTTTGCTCTGGATTAAGTGACTTGCATCCTTAGCCTTCTCTCAGTCCAAATTATTGTCCATCTAACCTTCTTAATTCTCTTCTCTCCTATGCTGTCCGGACTTCCTTTCTCTTTCTTGTTCTCTCTCTCCTTTGGCCTTTTTCTCTTTTGATTTTGCAAGCTTTCTGACTTCCATAACTCCGTCAAGGTACAGGAACCCTTCCTACTTCTGATTAGCATATTATATCACCTGGGATTGATTCATAACATTGGGTTGAAAAACAACCTCAGCTGCTTCTAATGCAGCCTTTCTCCACCTCAGGCTGGCTGGGGAATTCTGGGGGTTGAAGTCCAGCCATCTCAAAGTTGAAAGACCCTGCTCTAATACCTTTTGTCTGGTTCTGCCTCCTCCAGGACTCCAGGGCCTACTTCCATCTCCTCAACCAAATTTCACCCAAAGGACAGAAGGAAGGAGAACCACAAATCAACATCAACATGTCAGGCTTCAATGTGAGTATGGGCCTTGGTGGCCTGCTGGGAACCTTGCAACTACCATTCTACTAATCCTATCAACAGAAGCTGTATTTCCCACCCAATGATGCCAGGGGGGGTGGGGGGGTTTATTTGTGGTTATTTGTCAGTGTGCATTGTGGTTATTAGAGGATTCCTCCCATGTTCTCTCATTGTCTCCTGGTTTAAAGCATTCACTCCATCAAGCAACACTTGGGAACCTTTTACGAGGGACACTCTGGCTGATTTTCACTGTCAAAATGCATTTAATTCTTTATTTGAAGACCTTGTAGAAGGAGGTCCATGCTAGTCTATGATGGTTCTCTTCACCGGGAACGTCTTCTGTGAAGAACATCCCAAAGGGGGGAAACCTAAAAAGAAATCAAGATGGCAGCCTCAGAGCTTGATCATGGCTGTCATCTTCATATCCGTGTGGACCTTGAGGTCTTCCGGGTCTCAGAACCTGCCTCCCAAAGTAGTGGCTTCATCTAACCCAAGGGTGTCCAACCTTGGCAACTTTAAGACTTGTGGACTTCAACTCCCAGAATTCCTCAGCCAGCTTTGCTGGCTGAGGAATTCTGGGAGTTGAAGTCCACAAGTCTTAAAGTTGCCAAGGTTGGACACCGCTGATCTAACCCAACATCAGAAAGTACCATCTGTGCCTTCCTTCTCTGTAGGAGAAAGATGACCTCAAGAGGGCCGAGTCCATGCTCCAGCAAGCTGATAGACTGGGCTGTCGGCAGTTTGTTACCCCGGCAGATGTGGTGAGCGGCAACCCCAAGCTGAACTTGGCCTTTGTGGCCAACTTGTTCAACAAGTACCCAGCCCTCACCAAACCTGAAAACCAAGACATTGATTGGACATTGCTGGAAGGTGAGAAGTTTCTCCTTCTGTGTGGTTAATGGGAGGGTGGGTGAGAGAGAGGAGGAGGAGGAGGAGGAGGAGGAAAGAAGGAAGGAAGGAAGGAAGGAAGGAAGGAAGGAAGGAAGGAAGGAAGGAAGGAAGCTGTCTTTGCATCTTTGTGTACTGAAGACTTCTTCTGCTTTCTTGTTTTAGCATTTTTAGGACATTTGCTTTAGTTTTGTGTCTGTGGTGTTGTCTATGTGTAGAGAAGCAAAGGCAGATTCCTTCAATGGCATCTCTTTGTATCTCAGGTGAAACCCGTGAAGAACGGACGTTCCGCAACTGGATGAATTCTCTTGGCGTAAACCCTCATGTCAATCATCTCTACGGGTAAGTCGGGCTTTCTTTCAGGGGGCCTGGCTGGCAGGACCAGGGTCCCCTCCGTCTGGTCCTTTCTCTCTCTCAGAAACTAAACTTCTCAGTGAGCAGATTTCTGTCTCCTGTTTCAGGGACCTGCAAGACGCCCTGGTGATTTTACAGCTCTACGAGAAGATCAAAGTTCCTGTAGACTGGAGCAAAGTCAACAGACCCCCGTACCCGAAACTTGGGGCCAACATGAAGAAGGTGCTGGAGCCGGGTTGTTTCTAAAGTCCCCATTTTCAGTTCAGTTCAGGGAAATCCTGTTGCTTTAGCCCATGGTGTTAAAGGAGGCCTGGGTGCTGATAGCTGATGCCCCTTCTTCACGCCTCTTCCATTCATCAGGGGCGAAGAAGCCCTTGCTTGGCTTATGGAAAAGACCAGCTCTGGGCCATTTCAAGCTCCAAAGCCTTCTGGCAAGGAGGGATGAAAAGAAGACCACTAAGGTGTAAGGCAACTTCATGCCCCACCCCCCAAGACTTAACGGTTCTCTCTCCCTCCCCCTCCCTCCCTTTCTCTCTGTCCTCCAATCTCCTTCTGTCTCACCAAACAGCTGGAAAACTGCAATTATGCCGTCGATCTAGGAAAGCACCCAGCCAAGTTTTCGTTGGTTGGCATTGGCGGGCAGGATCTCAACGATGGGAACCCGACCCTCACCCTGGCTTTAATGTGGCAGTTGATGCGAAGGTATCCATGCAACCATGCCGCTTAGTCCAAGTCCTCCTTTGAGGCTCTCCACGAAAGACCGACATTTCTAGGGGTCCCAACACGCCTAAGGGTCCCCCCAGGTTTCGTGTGCTGAGTAACGTTTCTGTGTCTCCTTTGCCCAGATACACTCTGAATGTTCTGCAGGACCTCGGAGACGGTCAGAAAATCAATGATGACATCATTGTAAATTGGGTGAACACGACCTTGAAAGAAGCTGGGAAATCCAGTTCTATTCAGAGTTTTAAGGTGGGTAATTTAGATCTTGTTGTCACAAAGAGGCCAATTTGTGCCCAGGAGCAGCTGGAGTAAATTGGGAAAATGGACAGATGTTGCTCCTTAGAGCAGGCCCTATAAAAGTGTCCATTCCCCCCCCCATTCCAGCAGCTGGATTTTTAAAGGCTTACTGAGCATCTGAAAACCAAGGAGTTTTCAATAAAATAATACTGAGTTTTCTGTCCATTTACAGTAATACCTTTCCTGGCCATCTTTAGATAGCTGTCTTGTCTCCAGAAAGCAATTGGGCATTGTTGAAAAATTTACCCTGGACACCACCAGGAAACAGCTTCATATATCTTTGCTGGTAGAAAAAGGTGTTGGTTGTGTTTTGCACAAACCCTAAGAACACCACAAATTTGAGCCCAGACCCATCACCACCTGACCAGACCTTCTCCAGAGCCTGGATTCCGCCGTGTCCTTGCCCACCTCCACTTTAAAATGGGGGGGGGGGGTGTTCATCGGATGCGCCCACCCTTTTCATTGATGTGATCCTCGTTTTCCTCTCCAGGACAAAAGTATCAGCAGCAGCCTGGCCGTGGTGGATTTAATCGACGCTATTCAACCCGGCTGCATAAATTACGACCTTGTGAAGACAGGCGATCTCTCCGAGGAAGACAAACACAGCAATGCCACGTGAGAGGCCGGACTTGGTTGTCCTTTCAGCCTTCTTCCTCTGGTTCAGGCGGCACATTTAATGGGAGGGGGAGGGCTGTGAGTCTGAAGTCCGAGCTTGGCAGTTTGGTTGTGGAGGCTCCGACACCATTCGAGGAGACGCCGTCCGGGCGCTTTGAACTGCGCTCGTCTGTCAGAACACAGGCCTTTAAATCCCCTTTTTGTGTGATGCAAATTAGTGTGGGTGTTGTTTGTTACTTCTGAGTCAAGGTCTGATTACCCCACTGTCAGAAAATCCCTCCTTATTTCCAGGTTGAATCTCTCCTCTTTGGAAAATAGCTTGACCCCCTCCTCCTCTCTGGGGCAGCCCCTCAAATATTGGACATGATAGCAAGGGGTCAAGCTATTCTGCAAAGCCACTGAAGGCCAGACAAGGAACAATGGATGGAAACTGAACAAGGAGAGATTCAATCTGGAAATAAGAAGGAATTTTCTGACCGGGAGAACCATCAACGGATGGAACAGAAGTTGCCTTTGGAAGTTGTGGGAGCTTCATCCCTGGAAGCTTTGAAGAAGAGACTGAACGGCAATCTGTCAGAAATGGGGAAGGGTCTCCTGCTTGGGCCCCGGGGGGTTGGACTAGATGTCCTACAAGGTCCCTTCCAACTCTGATTATCTGTTATCTGATTGTTGATTGGCTGTTGTTGTTACTGAGGCATGGCCTTTGGTTTTAAGTACTGTCTGTATGATGTAAATTAGTGTAGTTAGTTTGGGTGGTTCTGAGTCTGGTTTTGGACTGTTTGAATGGCTGGTTCCAAAACCAGGCCATGACTCAGAAGCATCTGATTTACATCACACAGATAAATAAAAAAGGTCCCATAAAAAGCTATTTAAAGACCTGTGTTCTGACAGACGAGCGCCATTCAAAGCACACTGACAACGTCTCCTCGAATGGTGACGAAACATTTGCAACCAAATGGCCAAGCTCAGAGCAACAGCCCAACTACCAACCCAGCTGTTACTCATATTCAAACACATCTCAGGCATGTTTAACCTCAGGTTGTGGAGGGAGGCGTCGTCAGTGGTCATGCCCGAGACGTGGCTGGCAAACCATAAGAGCTGGGCTCGCCCGTTGGCAGTTCAAGGGAAGCCAGCCGGACTCCCTCGCCTGCGTGTCCTTTGCCAGGGCTCCGGGGGCAGGTTAACCCATCCTGCTCCATGGGAGTTTGAGGGGTTCAGGGCCGCCTCTGCTGGGGGGCATGCAGATCTCTTGCCGAATCCAAACCCGCCCCTCTTTCCTGCCTCAGGTACGCCGTCTCCATGGCCAGGAGGATCGGTGCCCGCGTCTATGCCCTGCCAGATGACGTGGTCGAGGTGAAGCCCAAGATGGTGATGACCGTGTTTGCCTGCCTGATGGGCCGAGGGCTGAAGCGCGTTTAAAGAGCAAAGACCCCCAGCCTGCCCCCTCCCCACCCCAGCGCAGATGCCTGACTGAAGGGCTCCGCTCCGCTTCCAGAACGGGGACTCTCTTTGGCTCAAGGACTCGGAGAGGCCTCGGAGAGGGGAGGGGAACCCACCCAGCCACCTCCCTCCCTCCCTCCCTCCCTCCCTCCCTCCCTCCCTTCCCCAGAAATTTCAAGGTTGCATCTCCTCAAGTGCCCAAGGGAACAGTCCGCACTCATGCCGGTGGCCGGCACACCGACCAAAGCTTTCTTTCCTCGTCCGGAGGGGCCGTTTTCGGGAGGGGTGCCAGTCATGGGGTTGGCCCTAAGGCCCCATCTGACTCTCCCGTCCTGAAAGGAAGAAGGAAAGAAAAGGAAGTTTCCTTTTAAAAAAAGAAAATAGAAGTTTCTAGTGGTTCAAAGATTTGAGATGGGCTTGAGTTTGTTCTTTTTTCTTTTTTTAATTTAACCTGCCGTTTGGTCATGGGTGCAAATGCAGTAACCCTTTTTTTAAGCCACACCTTTAAAGGAAACGGAAACAAAAACCACTTAGTAGAAACCATGCCAAGTTAGACAAGAAGGCATAAAGGCTCTTATTTTGCAGAATTTATCCTGCCGCGGAAGTGAATTTGGCACACTCCGTTCTTCACGATTTGGTCACCGAGAGGGACACCCAACAGCCTCTCACTTGCAATCCGCCTCCCGAAGGACTAGAAACCTGGTTTGGTTCTGATGGTTCAGTGTGAGTTTCCCATTTGGGGAAGCGGAATTTGGTGCCCAGCTGCTCCTCGTGGTGCTCTGGCACCTGGGCCGGGTTCAAGTGGGCGAAGCTCGAGGGCTGCCAAGCTCCGTCTTCCTCCAGCCTTCTGATGGTGCTGCTTTCATTTGCCTTCACAGCACAACTGTGTTGTCACTTCCCTTTCCCAGCGAAAGCACAACAGGTTTTCCTTTGTGCCAGTTTTTTATTTCCACGTTACTCATTTTTATGCGAGGTTCCATCTCCAAAGGTTACCGCCTTGCCTCAACTTCATTGAACCCAGAGAATCGAATTGATGCAATTTTTACGTGTTGCCTTGGTTTTCTTTTGTATTTTGCCTAGACATATTTTTTTTAAGTTTTGTTTTTTCCAAAAACTGCATGGAAACCATTTTTTTTTTTTTAAAAAAAAATATTTTAGTTGACGTGAGCTGTTTGCTACAAACTGTGTGAAAAGGGTGCCACAGGTGAGACCAGGCCCGTTCTGCAAAAGGCAGGGACTAGTAACTTGAAGAGCAGAATGTGCCGAGATTAAAGAAAGTATTTTTTATAAATAAAAGGAAAATGTTATCACCAAAGAAAAGGCTTTTATCTATAGGAGCAAGTATATTCTGGCTTTAGCAAGCTGTTAGCTACCCCTGAGATCATCTTGTTACATATTCACAGCATTGGATTATGGTGGCCAAGCAGTTGATGATGAAATAAAAATGGTTTATAAACCTGGCACCTGGATTTCTTTCGCAAAACCTCTGTGAAACTCGACTTTGGCTTGGAATCCTGGTTTCGAGAGAGAAAGTCTTGGATATCTTTCCATTAAACCCTTCTGCTTCTTCCTGCTAATATTCCTGCCACTCTGTCGACCGGTTGAAATCTTCTTTGGGTCATTAAAAAGAATACAAAGCAAGGGCGTCCAACCTTGGCAACTTTAAAGACCTGTGGACTTCAATTCCCAGAACATCCCAGCAATGCTGGCTGGAGAATTCTGGGAATTGAAGTCCGCAGGTCTTAAACGTTGCCAAGGTTGGACACCCCGGATATAAATGGAATGTGAATAACCTCATTTCATCCTTTCATTTCTGCCACTGTTGACATTCACACAGCCACTTAAACTACAGTTGGCATCATAGTAGGGATAGGCTTGTGACAACATGGTTTGCCTCGAACCCTGATTCATTCACACAATGCCTAGATTCATCCAACAGCTAAACCCGAACTCTACCTGTTGGATGGAGGGGCAAAGAACCTTAACAAAGCCTTCCCAACAGTGAAGTCCAAAAATCAAAACTGGCAGCTAGTTATACACGAGTAAAGGAATTTAACGGAATAAATTCAAGAAAAAAGAACATGGCCAAAAGTTGCTTTGTGCCACTAGGGGGCGCCCTAAACTTTCCAATTAGAGGAGCCATGTTTGGGATTCAGATTTGGAAAGTTAAAAGGATTTTGGGTTGTCCAAGATCTCAGATCCATGGTGGCTGGGTGGGATTTGCATTCTCCTGGAGGGGGGATGAGAGAGCTCCCTCCCTTGGGAGGCATCAGCCCTGGTGCGGGTGGGAGATCCTTACTCTTCGTCTAAGCCAGGGCTCTCCAAACTTGGCACATTTCAGGCTTGTGGGCTTCCAACTCTCAGAATTCCCAAGCAGCATGGCCAGCACTGATGATGTTGCCTACTTTGGCTCAGGAAATGTCTGCAAGAAACCCATCAAGCTCAGGGAGCCCCCAAAGGCCCCTCATTTCCACCCTGAGCTACACATATTCCCCTTTATTGGGTTGCTGGATATCTGCCAATCTGTTCTTGGCACAAGAGTGACATTTAATTTATCAGCTAGCCTGAAAAAGACCACTGAACGAGGTCTGGAATTTGGGTTCCTCCCCCCCCCCCCCAATTTCTGGAATTGCCTTGATGCTTGAGTCCCCTTTTCCAAGAGGGCTCCCTCCGGCCTGTCTCAAAGTCCCCCCTCAACTTCCCTCCCTTGGTTCAGTCCTCTGCTGCTTCCTCCCTTCCCTCTCCCCCATGGCTGCCTCCTACTCCAGCCTCTGGGCCGAGGGGTCTCTCTTTTGCAAAGCTGGCATGAACCCACCTGGCCAAGAAAAGCCGGCTTAATTTCATCCGTGTTCTCAGCCCACATTCCTGAATCAGGGGTTCGGCAGGAGGTCTGGACTACAGCCAGTCTGGCTGGGGGTGGGGGTGGTATGTCTGTGGGGTAACCCACCCCCCCCAGCACAATTGCCAATTGGAAAATAAAGATGTGAGATTGTTGAAAGCTCTGCAGGTGTAATAATAGTCTCAGGGAATGAAGTCAGCCCTGGATTGTCTTTCTCCTTGGCTGAAAGTGCTGCAGAACAGGCTCTGCGTCTTCAGGATCACTCCCATTAATAACCTTGGCTAGAGTAATACAGCTTGATTGCAAAATGCAAATGTAAATGCAGTAATTTTCCGTATTCAAAATTATGGGCATTTCCCATCATCAAAAGCATCATCCTCAAAGTAGTTTAGATAAACAATGGGATGAAGAAGGAAAAACACCTCCCAGCCAGGACATAAGTTGTTTATGCCATGCGTAGCAGAAGAAGTCCAAATATCACGTGACCAAATCCTAGTTTAGGATTTCCCAGATAAAACATTTCTTGGAAAAACTTTTGCCCAGATTTCATTGATCCAAAGCTGAGAAAAACAGAAGCGCTATTGTGAACTTCTGGTCCGCTTCCACAACTTGCTGTATCTCCAACCTCTTGGTTTCCTCCGTTCTGCAGAAGCCAACATGTTCTCACAACCTCCATTCAGCGCCGTTTCCAGAGGCCATTCCTTGGAGTGCATCCTTCTGCTTCTCCCCAAAGGGGCCTTTTCAGGAGGCAGCTGGAGTTTCTTTGTTTTTCCTTGAAGATGTTTCACTTCTCATCCAAGAAGCTTCTTGGACTGAACTGAAGAGGCTTCTTGGATGAGAAGCAAAACGTCTTCAAGGAAAAACAAAGAAACTCCAGTTGCCTCTCGAAAAAGCCCCGTTGGGACCACTGTGATCTGGAGGACTGAGAGTCTCCACAGATGTTCTTCTGCTTTCTTAGAAATCCTGAGCACAACATTGTTGATGCTTCCTCTGGTCCAGCGCATCCCACAAACAGGACTTGGCATGTGCCACGGTCTTCAGTATAGCTTGACCAACCCATGATGAGAACATTTTGAAAGGGGGCTACATGGAAAATTCCAGGAAAGGACAGCATTTTTAGTCCGTTCTTGGCTGCCAAAGCCAAGAAAGTATGTTTTTGTTTAGACGTTTCTGCTGAAACAAGAAGCCAACAGAGGGTGAGGGATTGTGTTGAGAGATCTCACTGGGCTTTTTTTTTTGCAAACCTCTTTGCAATGAATTATCTTCTGTCATACCTCATGACTAACCACATCGTTTGGCCGAGGGGAACACAACCCTCCATTCGTGTCATGTTTTGTTCACAGCTGGAAACGGGGCCAGCTCCACCCTCCGAGTGTTGGGTAATTAGTAAATTTAGAATGGCCTAAATTCTGTGCATCGAGGCCCAAATCATCAGCTGCAAAAGCGTTTTTTTCTCTGTAGATGAAGAGAAAAGAGGAAGAAATGGCTGCAGGAGCTCCAGTTCGGCTCCAGACTCTCCAGGAAGCCTGAGAAGATAAGAGCCCCTCGAACCCCTGCAGACTAAGATGCCGGTAGCTGTAGCTATTGCCGGATTCCCTCCTCATTTTGGTTGTTCTGTAAATCCTTTTAGTGAAAGAGGAATAAGTGGCGAGTTCTCCATCCTGAAAAGCAAAAGACCAGCCTCTGATGTTTCAAGAACGGCCTCCAGAAGGATGCTAAGAAAGTTGGCCTAATCTCAGAGCGTCCATTGAGCTCGTGAACTTCTCCCCCAAGTTTTCCCCTCCTAACATCGATGATCAGAGAGCAACAAAGTGGAAGAGGTGCTGCTAACCTCAAGGCCTAGCATCAAAGCCCCCCCGCCCACCAGGTTGTCCTAGAACAGCGTTTCTCAACCTTGGTGGGCTTCAGATCCCAGAATTAAATTCTCCATGCTGACTGGGGAATTCTGGGAGTTGAAGTCCACACATGTTAGAGTCACCAAAGTTGAGAAACACTGGATCAAAGAGCTGAGATGCTGCTCTTTGTGGCTCTGAAGACCACTTCCTTCCCAGGGTTCCCCTCCTGGGGGGTGGGGGGAGGGGGTGTAAATTCCATGCAGGAAAGATGGAGCCCAGCTGGGCTTTGGGGTAATGCCAACCCACCCTCCCTGCCGAGCCTTTCGAGAGGACGGGGCTTGGAGAGGCTGCCCCTCTGCCCTCCAAGGGAGCCCAAGGGAACACATCCCCCCCAACCCACCCACCCCCAATCCCTGCCCAGCTTGGCTGACTCTCCACTCCTTCACCCCAACTTCAGCTGCCGAAGCAGGTAAGCAGAGAAACAGGAATGCAGAGTTTGAAGGGGTGGGAATGAGGGGAGGCAAAAGGGGTTAAGGAAAATCTCTCCAGCCAGCCAGCCAGCTTGGGATGGGTGGCTAGAGAGCCCGCCCATTTCCAGCCCCCCTGACTCCCATTGGCTGCAGAGAGAGAGGCAGAAGGTGTGGATTTCCCTTCCCCAGCCGCCGCTGGAAGGCAGGCGAGGGAGGGGGCTGCCCCTTTGCTTCCTTTGGATCAGGGAGCAGGCTCGCTCATTGCTCTGGGGGGAGCCAGGAAGAGGCCAGGCTGCCCCGCTGGACCCTGCAGTGGCTAGCAGAGAGCGGTCACTCTTCCAATGCAGGAAAAGGAGGCAGTTGTGGACATCTGAAGTGCTCTGGGTGGGGATAAGCCCCAGGACGGTTCCTGCAACCCGTAAGTGACAGACAACTCTGCTCTTTTCCACTTCTACGTTTCCTTTCAAATGCTTCCCTCTTTTAAAGGAGTATGCAGCTTTATGTGCAGCCTCCTCTTCTGCTGGAACATCTGGAGAGCATCCAGGACACTTTTGCTGCCCTCCATTTCCATTCTGAGACTCATTTCTACTTTCCTTCTAATACCTTCAGCGACCGACTCTAGTTTGCTAAGGGGGAATATCGGTGCTCCGCCAGGAGGGAGAATCGGTGCTTTCTCAAGGGCCCATCATCCTCAATGTCTTTTCAAAGGACTAAAACGGGACTTTTCAAAACCTGGGACTTGGGGAGAGTGACAGCTTTCCTGGGAAGAGTTGCGATTCACGCGTCTGTTCTCTTCTCCTCCTTTCTTTAAGAGCCAGCAGCCTCCAGCCTCGGTAGTGCAGACCCCGAAGTTCCATGTCCCCATCTTCTCTGACCCCAAGATGCATTTCAGGAATTTCTCCACCACCCTCACCACCGAAGGGTCTCTCCAAGAGCTGGCTCCCACCAACGTCTCCACCAGGGAGGCCTGCCTCCTCCGCTTCTCCAGCCACCAGTTTGTGCTCATCCCCGTGCTCTACTGTGTCATCTTCATCCTTGGGCTTGTGGGCAACAGCATGGTCCTCACGGCCCTGTGTCGGCAGAGGAGCCCAAAGACGGTGGCCAACGTCTACATCTTCAACCTAGCGGTGGCTGACCTGCTGGCCCTCATCACCCTTCCCTTCTGGGCTGCCAGCTACGCCAACGGGTACAGCTGGGTCTTTGGCTCCATGATGTGCAAGTTCTCTGGCTCCGTCCTCTGCTTGACCATGTTTGCAAGCATCTTCTTCATAACGTGCTTGAGTGTGAACCGTTACCAGGCCATTGTGCACCCCTTC